ACCCAACCTAACAGGGCCCCCCCATCCCCACAAAACAAAAAACACAGTTTACTAGGCTTCAGTTATGAATGAACACAGTGAGTGATCGGTACAGATCACTCATTGTGTTCATTCAGGAATGGAAGGGTCTGGTAAATTACTGGAACTAATCCCCTAAGTATTTCTCTCTGCAGCAGCTGAAAGCCAGCTGGGGGGGAGCAGAACCAAGCTTTCAGCTGCTGCAGAGAGAGCCACACGGGATTGGTTCCAGTAATTGCCCTGTTCACCCTTCCTGCCCATATTTGGTTCACTCAGCTGCCTGGGCCCCCCTGCAGGCCTGGGCCCCATACAGGAGGACTGGTGGTGCCCCCTTATCCACAGCCCTGGTCAAGTCCACTATATAATAAGGTCCAAGCAGACCATATAGGTCAATGAAAAGAGAGTCCACTCTGTGGCTGCTTAATCCCTAGAGCAGGAGGCAACTCTGGAATGAAATGAATGGAATGAGAAGGGAAGACAAGCGCCATCTGAGTGTAAGGACCACAGCACCTTCTCTATCTGGTGGACCGGGACCAGGACCGGTACTGATGATGGCAGCATACTTAGTGCTTGTTTTAACCTTTTTTGTGAGTGCGTCTATCTTTGTCTATTGAATGCATTAATACTACACTCAGATGGCGCTTGTCCTCACTTCTCCTTGGGTTTTACTACAGCTTCCTGTTTTTTATCACCTTGCTCAGAGGAGATGAGGCTTGCATAGAATCGCATTGTGTGTAAAGGCAAGCTTGTCCTACTACAGCCCAAACCTTTATTGGGTATTATTTATCATTTCAGTGGGAGGTAAAGGGTCAATGTTCCATACCAGCACTCACACGATCTATTTGTGGACACAACAGACGCGCGTTGTGGTCCCTGTACTCTGCGTTCTCGCCGGTCATGTGACAGGGAATTCCGGGTCTGATACAGAAAGGCCGGGGTGTGTTAATACACAGGCCGACGTAAGGGGGGAGTTTGGAAACTCGGCCGCTGCCGAGCTATAAGTATCAGTGGAAAGGTCAGACGGCTGACAGGTTGTGCGCTGAAACATGGGATCAGCATAGCTCCATGGGAATTTTTCACACCCTGAGACTGAAACTCAGTATGGCACAACGGAAATGTACCGCCAACTCTATGGCCGCAGCACCGCTCCCCCCACCCAGCCAGGTATGAGCCCCTTTTAACCCTTTCCATGGTGGACAGGACCAGATCAACACTTGTCACCGACCCTTCAATACAAAATCACCAACTTCAGACTTTATCCAAATCCCAATGGCAGGCTCCTCTCCTGGACTGAAATTGCTTGCTCTGGTGTCACTGCACACTGCGAGCTTCTCATAGCATGCATTAGAAGCTGCAGCAATTCGGATACAGCCCACTTAATTTCCTGGCTACAGGACATCCAGCATCATCTAACGAGAATTGAAACTGAAGCACCACACCACTGCTAAGAGGTCCAGATACAACTTTCTTCCATTAAAAGTCAGGGGTACAATCTAAAAAGTTGCCAACACGCTTCAGGGGTGCAAGGGCGCCCACTTCATCAGAGCAGAGTGACAGCCTGTTATGTGCCCAAGCGCCCCTAGGTGGCAGTGTGCCCTAGGCGGCTGCCTAGTTTGCCTAGTGGAAGCACTGGCCCTGGTCACACCATTGCTAAAAAGGCCAGATATATCTTTATTCCATTGAAAGTCAGGGGTACAATACAAAAAGTATCCAACGCTTTTCAGGGGTCCAAGAGCGCCCCCTTCATCAAGACTAAAAAGAACATAAGAAAAACTCCATATCGATCTTGGGCTGATCACACTGCTTGAAATAGCACTGTATAGAAGACTGGAACTTACAGGCCAACTGGATTTCTGGCAGGATGGTCAGTTTTTTTTTTCCACTCATTGAACAGATGTAACACACTTTTATGGGTATATTATACCAAACCTAAAGGAAGCAAATTGGAGATGTTTGTTAGGGTTTACATAAACTTTCCACCGAGCCCAGGCGTCCCTAGGCCAAATCTGTACACCCAGGGGGCAGGAAGGGTTAGCTGGTCACATGACCAGCTGGTCTCACCAGCTCCTGATTATTAGTAGGGCCTGAGAGCTGTCTATGACAGCTCGGTCACTGTGCTGAGGGTGCACTCCCAACACAGAAAGCTCTTCTGCCCATGGACACATATTTGCAGCGTGTGGGGATTAAAGCCCGCCCTCTTTGCCGCTGCATATATATGTTATGCGGGCAGCAAAAGGTTAACAAAACACATGTCAAATTAACCTAAATTATAAATGTTCAGCCATCAAAATGAGCAAATAAACCCTTGCGTCAATAGGAACCATAACTCTCCTGGGTGCATGCTGAACTTGGACAGAGTGGTAGTAAAACCACTGCTATCTGGAGGGTAATCATGAGTTATGAGGCTGTAAAGATTGAAGGAAAGTCACCTCTGAATTTTGCCTTGTATGGTTCTCTGGCACATGATGACAAAGGTCCAATTCCACACAATGAGCAGCAAACCCAAGGAAGGTGTCTGCATGCCATGGCGGTGATGTCACCAGCCAACAAATGTCAAGTCATCGGGATACGTGCGGTGCACTCTACCTGAGCTCTGGGATTTCTCTGACTCAAAGGGTTTAAAATAGGAGATCAATACTACTACTACAGATCAAAGACGAAGATAATCATAGAGGGAAACCTCCAACCACGTAGATTAAAGAACGAGGAAGGAGGAAGTAGCTGACAACAATGTGGAAATGAGGTCCAAAAATAAATACCTGTAAGGTGGTAGAGTTCTTTTTTGGCAGAAGAGACATGCAAAGTCTCAATGGTCAGATGTCCCCAAGGACAGAAAAGATTTAATGGCCAGATGCCCCTAGGGACATAAAAGTCTCGATAGTAAGATACCTTTAGGGATGGAAAAGTCTCAATGGTCAGATGTCCCAGGGGATAGAAAAGTCTCAAAGCTCAGATGTTCCCAGGGACAGAAGAGTCTCAATGGTCAGATGTTCCCAGGGACAGAAGAGTCTCGATGGTCAGATGTTCCCAGGGACAGAAGAGTCTCAATGGTCAGATGTTTCCAGGGACAGAAGAGTCTCAATGGTCAGATGTTTCCAGGGATGGAAAAATCTTGATGGTCAGATGCCCCCAGGGATGGAAAAGTCTCAATGGTCAGATGTCCGCAGGGACAGAAAAGTCTCAGTGGTCAGATGTTCCCAGGGATGGAAAAGCCTCAATGTTGAGATGCCCCCAGGGACAGAGGAGTCTTAATGATCAGATGTCCCCAGGGACAGAAAAGTCTTCATGGTCAGATGTCCCCAGGGAGTAAAAAAGTCTCAATGGTCAGATGTCCCAGGGACAGAAAAGTCTCAAAGGTCAGATGTTCCCAGGGATGAAAGAGTCTCAATGGTCAGATGTTCCCAGGGACAGAAGAGTCTCAATGGTCAGATGTTTCCAGTGATGGAAAAGTCTCGATGGTCAGTTGCCCCCAGGGATGGAAAAGTCTCAATGGTCAGATGTCCCCAGGGACAGAAAAGTCTCAGTGGTCAGATGTTCCCAGGGATGAAAAAGCCTCAATGTTGAGATGCCCCCAGGGACAGAGTCTTAATGATCATACGTCCCCTAGGGACAGAAAAGTCTTCATGGTCAGATGTCCCCAGGGAGTAAAAAAGTCTCAATTGTCAGATGTCCTTAAGGAGGGAACAGTCTCAATGGTGAGACGTCCCCAGGGATGGAAAAGTCTCAATGGTCAGATGTCCTAAAGGACGGAAAAGTCTCAGTGATCAGATGACCCCAGGGAAAGAAAAGTCTCAGTGGTCAGATGTCCCCAAGAATGGAAACGTCTCAATGGTCAGATGTCCCAGGGGATGGAAAAGTCTTAATGGTCAGATGTCCCCAAGGATGGCACAATCTCAATGCTCAGATATTCCCAGGGATGAAAAAGTCTCAATGGTCAGATGTTCCCATGGACAGAAAAAGATGTTCCCAGGGATGAAAGAGTCTCAATGGTCAGATGTTCCCAGGGATGAAAGAGTCTCAATGGTCAGATGTTCCCAGGGACAGAAAAGTCTCAATGGTCAGATGTTCCCAGGGGCGGAAAAGTCTCAATGGTCAGATGCCCCCAGGGATGGAAAAGTCTCAATGGTCAGCTGTCCTCAAGGACAGAAAAGTTTCAATAGTTAGATGTTCCCAGGGATGGAAAAGTTTCAATGGTTAGATGTTCCCAGGGATGGAAAAGCCTCAATGGTGAGATACCCCTAGGGACGGAAGAGTCTTCATGATCAGATGTTCCAAGGGACAGAAAAGTCTTCATGGTCAGATGTCCTCAGGGATCAAAACAGTCTCAATGGTCAGATGTCCCCAAGGAGGGAAACAGTCTCAATGGTGAGATGTCCCCAGGGAGGAAACAAGTGTCAATGGTCAGATGTCCCCAGGGAGGGAACAAGTGTCAATGGTCAGATGTACCCAGGGAGGGAACAGTCTCAATGGTCAGATGCCCCCAGGGACGGAAAAATCTTAGTGGTCAGAGGTCCCCAGGGACGGAAAAGTCTCAATGGTCAGATGTCCCTGGGGATGGAAAAGTCTTAATGGTCAGATGTCCCCAAGGATAGAAAAGTCTCAATGGTCAGATGTCCCTACTGGGGACACAGGTGGTAGTAAAAACTTCCCACTGAAATTTTAATAAAGAAGCTTTGTCTGGAGTTTCTCTTTACACAATTTGCAGTTCTCCAGCCTTCTCTTCAGTCTTGCACAGTTGTACACAAGATATTAGGGCTGTATTTTGGTGGTGTACTCTCCAAGTCACATAGGTATTTTTCTTTCTTTTTCTAATGTATATATAAGGATGGTGGTACATCACCTTATGCACAGTTGTACCGGCCCCTCTCCTGGACTGAAATTGCTTCCTCTGAACTTCTCACAATGTGCATTAGAAACTGCTGCAGACTTGCTATAGAGCCCATCTTCTGCCCTGTCCAGGGTCGGACTAACCATTTGGAAACTCGGGCACTGCCCGAGGGCCCAGGGTCAGTAGGGGGCCCCATGAGATGCCCCTGGTACCTTTTTCATAGGCTTTTTGAGTTGGGCAAGGACACAGGGGCCCCATGATCCCCTATTTCCCGGGGGCCCTATGAGCTGTCAGTCCGCCCCTGGCCCTGTCTGAAGAATGTCCAGTATCATCAAGCTCTTTCCTCCCTAACCTGACTGTCCTTGGCCCACGCCATTCATTCATTGGATTTCAATACTTTTGTTAATAAAGGCTCGGCATCACATGTGGAGGTTATGTAGGGCAGTCCACATGTAAATACATCCTATGTAAGAACACCCACCCCTACTGACTGACATCCACCCATCAAGGCATTTTGATATTTGCACAAGTCCCCTGTATAAATCAGGACTAAGGGCTCTTGAGAAGAGTATTTAAGCAGAATGTTGTGATGTTTTAAGGAAGCTATGTACAGCACCCTGCCAGCCCCTCTGACTAAACATGATCTGCCTGCATTGCATAGAGAAGCACAGAGACCTAGTGATTACATCACTGGAACTAAAATAAGGTATGTACTGAAAACATAAAGATTTTAATTAAAAATTTAATTGGCATATAGTGAAAAACGGGAATGGGGGAACCAGGGAAGGCAAATTATAAGCAGATTCAGCTTTAAATGTTTTCAAATGCAGAGAGGTGACACAGCAATGTTTCTGAAGTGTGAGAACTGTTATGCAATGCTTTATGTCTCACTGAGCTGCATACTAACCAGGAGATGGGCTAAACTTTAACTCTCGCGACTAATGTGACACAGATTCTTCACGTTCACTTTGTACAGAATAACAGAATCCTAGTGAAATGTGTTCATTTTTAACTATATTAGAACCAATAACCATTCTGGTATGTGCGTCCCGGCATTTCTCCACGATGATGCTGACTGTACGGAAAATACTGTACAGATATCTGATCTGTGATCACTAGGAAATCCAGGTTTTCGGGTGGAGGCCAAGGGGTAAAGGTCCTGACTACATGAATTGTATGTTAAATGGCAATCTAATGCCATAAAAAGACAACCTGCTCTGTTCACCTTTGGAGGGAAAGGTGGCAAGAAGTGGTTGAATGCCTGGGATTGTCAGGGTGATGGTTCTCACTAGTGTCGAAAAGCAGCTGGAGGCAGACACGTTTTTATAGATTCATCCATAGATCACAAGTATAAAGTTTTCTCTTCTATCTTATCCTTCATCTTCCCCCAACCAGTTCTTTCTTCCTCCCTTCCCTCATTTCTTCCTTCTTTCCTTGCTTCCTTCATTCTTTTCTCATTTCCCTTCTCCCTTCTTTTCCTTCCTTCCCCTCTGCTCTACTCCTTTCCTTTACCTTTTTTTTTCTTCTTCCTCACTACTTTCTCCTTCTCCCTCTCCCTTTTATTCCTTCTTTCTTCCCTTCTTTTTCATTTTTCTCTGCCTTTCTCCTCCTTCCTCCTTTCTTGCTTCCTTTCTCTCTTCCTTTCCTTTCTCCTTTCCCTCTCTTCCTTCCTTCCTTCCTTCTTCCCTGCTTTTCGCCTTTCCTTCTCCTTTTCCTTTCAAAGTTAATTCTTCTTCCTTTCTTGCTTCCTTCCTCTCTTCCTTCCTCTTTTTTTTCCTATCACTCTCTTTCTTTCTTCCTTCCTTCCTTCCCTTCCTTCCTTCCTTCCTTCCTTTTCCTTTTTTCCCTCTTTCCTTCCTACCTCCCTGCTTTTCTCCTTTCCTTTCTTTCTTCCTCTTTCCTTTTCTAATTTCTCCTCTCCCTTTCATTCCTTCTTCCCTCCCTACCTTTCTGCTTCCCCCTCTCCCTTTTCTTCCATCCTCCCTTCTTTTCCTTTCTTTCCACCTTTTATTCATTTTTCTTCCCTGCCTTTCTCCTTCTTCCTTCCTTCCTTCCTTCCTTCTTCTGTCTTCCTTCCTTCTTCTTTGCTTTTTTCCTTTTCCTCTCTTCCTTCCTTTATCCCTTCCTTCTTTTTACTCCTCTCTTCCTTTCTTTCCCTTTTTCTATTTCTTCTTCCTTATTGCCCCTTCCTCTGTCCCTTCCTCCATTTTTCCTTCTTCGTTTCTTCTGTCCATTATTTTTTCTGTCATCTAGATTGGGCCTACAGAAGAAGACAACCAATATGGGGGACACCAGGGCATCAGCCTGTATGACTAAATAGGTCACCTGCCCAAGGTGGGGGTCTTACAGTTTCTAAAAAAAAAAGCCAACTATGCGGTTGTTTCTCTGGTCATTGATTTTGGAGGTTCAACAAATATCTGCTCAAGTTTCAAACCACCATGATGGAATGTGCAGTCATATAGGGGGCACACTGGTGCATATTAGTGGTTGGAACATATCATTTGTGGCACAATATGAGCTTTCAGCACCTGCCCTATGTTCTTTGGAGGCCAGGATATGCTGCAACGTCAGGCAGCCTAGTCTATCTGTAGTATGAACAGCTTTGTGATACATTGGACACTTACCTCCTTCACACTTCTCTGCACAATTCAAGTACTCCTTTAAGTACTGCTGTAATCAGGCTTTGAATTATCCAGTGAGGAAACCCCAACACAGCAGACACAAGGAGAGTCTGTGTAATGTTTGGAGGAACCAAATATCTTCTTTATCTCTAATGTGTCTCAAAGGTCTACAGTGACTATCTACTGAAAAAATTAGATAATGCCACCACTTATGACCATGGCTGAGATCACTTTACACCTGCCTTTGGATGGTGACATATGAGCTTATGGCATCTAACAAAGATAAGAAAAGTGAAAAGGGTCAAGTGAAAGAAAGTTTACTCTGCAACACCTATCTACACAAATACCTGAACCTAAAAAGTGAAGATTTGCTATCTAACAGGGAACATCCAGCCACCCAAAGTGCCCCCCAGTCCATTGCAAACCCCCAGAGTACAGTACACCCTGACCCCATACAAAACTCACCAGCTCCCACCAGAGCCTGCAGCCTCCTTCAGTGCCCATCAGTCTGTTGCAGAGTCCATAGCCCAATGTAGAACCTTTCAGCCCTTCACAATGCTCCCAGAGCCCCCTAGCACATATTGCAATGTCAGCGCTGTTTTACTTGACCATATTACTATACTATAGAAATTAATGCCCGGTAGGCCTGTCACTATCAAACCCAGGGGCGGACTGACCATTCAAGCACTCGGGCACTGCCCGAGGGCCCGGGGTCAGTAGGGGGCCCCATGAAATGCCCCTGGTACCTTTTATAGGCTTTTTTGGGTGTGCTTTGAGTGTGGGCAAGGGACAGGGGCCCCATGATCCCCTATTGCCCAGGGGCCCCATGAGTTGTCAGTCCACCCCTGATCAAACCGTAGCACTGTCTGGCCATTTCGACTATGTATGCCACTTTTAAACCATTGCCTCCATTCAAGCATTGCGCTATGGGCTCCTCCTCTTGCCCAACCCTTAACCCCACCCCAATCTCTGTCTCTCCCACATTGCAAAATTCCAGATATGAGTATAACCCCATCAGTTATCAAATAACCAGTCATCAGGGGGCAGCTTTGACATGAAGAAGTTAAGCCCTGCCTCTACCAGGATGGCTGTTGTACACCAGCCATTCTCAGCTAGGGTTCTGTGGAACCCAGGGGTTCCTCCAGAGGTTGCTTGGGCATCCCTGAACTGTGGCTGATTACTTGCCATCTAATAGTGCCTGCATATTTCCAGGATAGGTGCCTCTTGGAAAAGCCAAGACATGACACCAATGATCTTTTTAGTTGTCGGTTGACATTCTGATCACCACTACAAGGAGCATTCTTCCTATTGGCCACCAATGTAATGGGAATTTTCTTATTGATCCCTGATGAATTGGTTTTAGTAAAGGTTGCTCAAGACTTGTTTTAGAGGTTCTTCTGGGGTAAAAAGGATCAGAAAGGCTACTCTATACAATGACACAGTGCAGAACAAGGCATGGCAATAAGAAACAGGGAGAAGACCATCTGCAGGGAGACCACAGGAAATACTGGTGACTAGTTCTTAGCCTTCTTTCGGCGGCACAGGTTGTAGAGTCCTGGTCCTCTCTAAAGAAAAGCTATAACAATTTGGGGGTCAATTTTATTTTTGCCTTGACATTGTTTCCATGGTGGACCCATAAAAAGACCACTTATTCTGCACTGGTTTACTCATTTATTTCCAAAGTCTGAGGCATTTTACGTTTGATGCTTTCTCCAGTGCTTTTTGCAGTTTGTTTTGCGTTTTTCTACACTCGTTTTTGACGTGTTTTTGATGTGTTTTTACCACATTTTGCTTTTTGTTCAGCTTTTTTTTTTGTAGTTTCTGGGCAGAATAAACATGCAAAACGCGGCAAAATCGCACTACCATGCATTTCAGCGGCTTCTCCATTGAACTCTATTGTAGCGAAAAAATGCTGCTTTTTGTTTTTAAAAAAGTCCCTAACCCTTTCCAAAAAACACAGAAGCTCAAAAAAGCCTAGATGTGCCATTTCCCATAGGAAACCATATTAAATAGACTGTAGTATGTTTCTGCAAATAGCATTGAAAAAACACATTGGTGTGTATGGAGCTTTAGATGTATTTGGAGTTCTGATTTTTTTTTATTTGTTTGTCCAATTAGTATATAAAGTTCTAGTTTTTATTTTAGATGTCATACTTCAGCTTAGTTATTTTCTTAAAATTTGAGTTGAATTATATTTTATTTTTGGAGTCACGCAGGGAGGTTCAGGTGCCTAATGAGTGACGCTGCTGCTTTTACGTCTGAGTTTTATTATTTATTGGTCCCGCATGGGTCATGTTGTTATGCCAACATACTTGACTTTTAAGATGTCCTCGACAGAAGGTCTTCGCATGTGTTTCTCTTCAGTTATCTAAATCAATCAATGAGAATGAAAAAAGATATTCAAAAAATGACCTTATTTTTTACACAGCCTTGACGGAGCATTTGGTGACAGTCAGACATGCTTGCCAAGTGGCCCCATTTTAGCCTTTTTCAGAAAATTGTCTTAAAGGGGAACTTCATTCCTGCTCAACTAATTGTTCTTGTATTGAAATAAACAAATGCATACTTACTAGCCCATGGAATACAGGGTTGTCCTCCTTCCAGCCCAATGTTCTTCATTGCTTCAGCACTGCCATCTTGACCCAGCATGCACAGACAAGCCACGAGTTCCTGCATG